CCCCAAAACCCCAAAACCCCAAAACCCCAAAACCCCTCCAGTGAATGTTGAGAGTGAATGTTAATTCAAATAATGATATAATTAATATACTAATAATAAAATCATAGATATGTTAATTCAAAGGTTCGACATTATTCCATACCTGCTATTAGAATGGTTACTGCTTATAAATTTACTTGGAATGTTACCCATATTCATCATTACACTATTGGTATTAACTTAGGCTTAAGAGTTTTGTATGTTTCTGTGAGTGTTTGACTTTCTATTGTTAGACTTATTGGTTCTCGTAGTCTAGCTTTAATTTGTGATTCTTGAAAGGTCAGCCTGAGACATAGTGTTGTTATTTATCATATGATTACTCTAAGCAAGCATTGGATGAGATCCCTTTGCAATAAACTTTTGATTATTGAGGTTCAAAGTTGCTTGAGATGGTATTTTATTAAGGTTATAATTTTATGAGGAACCTGGATGATTCATAATCACATTCAGGTTAGCTTAGATTTATATGTTAGTTATTTGTTTATTGTCTTGTGAGGACTATCTGTTCAGCTTTTGCTCTTTGGCTGGAGTAGTTGTCAGTAATTTTCCAGTGCTCTTATTTTTAATCAACTGCTTAATGTTTTTCATCTTAATGGATTTTAGCAGTTCTTGATTCTATTAGAGCATGGTGAGACCATTCGCTAGTGAAGTTTTGGCATGCTTATTTTAACTGCTCATGCCAGCAAGATTAGTTGTGCTTGAGGCAAGATTGTTTGAGTTTCGACTATCAATAAGTTTTAACTTTGTCTTGACTGGGGTGACATTTAGGATGCGCTCAACAGATGAATTCTTCTTAAGATCTGTCCTCACTATGCTGTTTTGCTATTTCAAACCTGTAGAGTGCTGATGAGTCAAATGTAATTCAACAGGAAAATATTCTTGCTATACTTAAGACTGCATGAGCAGTTGATGCTATGAAGGCATTTTATTTAGGGTTTGAGTGTTGAGCATTTCTTAAATCTTTTAGATATTTTACTAGGTGATTTGGCTTGGCTGATTCTTATTTTTTATAGGAGTCAGACTCTGCATAGTCTTTTAAATACTATAAATCTTCTATTCGTTAATCTAGTAATTCTATTATGATTTAGATGGGTAGTAGTTTGAATCAGAGGTCTATTAGGTAATTGACTGTTACTTAAAACTGCCCTAATTCTACAGCTGTGAGCTAGCTAGATTTCTCGTTTTGGACTTACTGTTTTACTACTTAAATAGCTATCCAATTACTGACCCAATGTTATTTTTCTTCTCTTTTTACTGTAATATCAAACTTTAAAACTGTTAACGCTTGACCTTAGATAATTCAGATGAAGATTTATCTCTAATAATCGCAGTTTCCTTATACTACTGAAACAGTATGTTATTGAATTTATCATCTAGTCCTGTATTATCTCTACCCTTACTTTTCTTTATAGTTTTCTAAGTATGATGAAGATCAAAATTATTCATATCAATTTCCATTATATTTTTGCTGCTCTTAGAATTCTAATATACTGGTATTTAATTTATATTGCCAACACTCCCACTTGTAATCTGCTCAAGTATTTTTATCTTTTTAGGATCTATAATCTATTAGTTGAACCCAGTAGGCTAGAAGTTATTTAGATTATTGGCGCTATTTTAGTCAATAAAGGTATTGATTTTTCCATTAGATTTGTTTCTTTTCATGATTCGTTCATCATCAACAGTCTAAGAATAAGGTTTGCAATTGGACAAACTAGATGTCTACTGCTAATATTCATTTTAGAAATCAGAGCTAAATGTCTAGGAAAAACTTAGCTATCGCGGGTAATCAAATACTTTATTGATAACTGACTTAGCAAACTTTTCCTCTATCTCTTTTTTGAATACTATTAATTCCAACTCTATTGCCTCATTCAAGTATCTAGGTCGTGGCACATTTTACTTGTTACTACCTCATGTGGGTGACTCAGATTAGCCTCTTTTGCTATTTATGACTGCTTGTTTAGTATAGTAAATTGTGCAAGCCAAACTATCGAGAGCTTATTAATCATCTTGCTTAAATCGATTGTTGTACTCTTTTTTGTAAAATACATTTGGCAGTTGCTTTTAAGATTTTGCATTGTTATTATTTCTTGTCATCTTGGGCTGAATCTTTTTAGAGGAGTTTTGATTCACAAGATCCTTCAAGTTATTGATTTTTTAAATCTGAATAACAGTGTTAGAAATGGTTGAGGCGTTTCTCGAGTATGATGGTTAGACGTTTGTTAATTACGAGTGCTCCATTAAAGCAAATTTATAATTGTAGACTGATTTTTAATTATTTCCTGAGCTAAAACATTTTAGAAAAGATTTCATCTTTGGGGTTTTGGGGTTTTGGGGTTTTGGGGTTTT